AATATATATTAAAATATTTTAATTTAATTTTTTTAAAAAATTAGATAAATTAATTTGTGAATTCATTATTTTTAATCTATCAATTTATTAAAATGGGTCAGTCCATTAATCTATTGTTAAATAAAATAAATTATATTTTTAAAAATATTTTTTTTTATGGACTAAGATGCCCACCTCACTTTTATTTTTTGCTGCAAAAAAAAAAATGTTATGTAGATGACATGAGATGTGGTATGTGTTATGGTAGATGGTGACAATTTCTTCATTTCCAGAGGGTTGGGAGATTATGAAGAGGGAAAAGGCAACAAAAGAAGGAGTCATTGACCAAAGATTTGTATGACTTTGAAATTTCCGAAGCAGCCTCGTTCCTTTCTTACCCTATTTCATCCTTTTCTCTCATTTCAACATTAATCAATTCATTATTGCAAAATACAACAATAAACAAACTATCCACTTTCGCTTCTTCTTCTTCTTCTTCTTCTTCTTCTTCTTCTTCTTCTTCTTCTTCTTCTTCCATTTCGCTTTTCTCAAAAGTGAAAACCAAATTTTGCGACCGCAACAATTATCACTCAGATCAGTAACATACATACATGCCCATCTCAGAAACCCCACAAGAACAAAATTTCAGGTTTTTCCACTTTTTTTTTAACCCTTGCTTGTTTTGTAGGTGACCCAGTTGAAAATTTGAGATTTTTTTCTTGTTTGATGTTTACCCATTTGAAGATTGGATCTCTTTTTGATTAGCCGTCTGAGATTCCGTTTTTGGCTGGTGACAGTGCGTTGATTGTGTTATGATGTTTCCTTCTAAGCACTTACTGCTGGATTTCAATCATTTCATGATTTTCATTCCCTTTATTTATATATTTGTTTATATTTTTTGAGAAGATGTATCCAGCTAAGCTATTCTCAATTTCTTCATTCATGTTCTTATTACACGAGTTTTTATAAGAACTTTTCAAACCTCTCCAAGCTTTCTTGATTTATGTAGTTTTCCATGCCAGATTCTGCATGTTCTGTTGTTATGGTGTGGATGTGTGCCATAGAGGACTCTAACTCAAGCTTTTCCTTTGTGTCTAATTTTTGCAGAACTCGAGTGATGGACTTTGAATGAAATCCTGTTTTTCATTAATGAGATTCAATTGAAGTGAACTGATTCACTGGAAAACTTATTTCTCATATTATCGAGTTACTATTGAAGCTGTTGGGTTTGATTTAACTACACGAGTTCGTTGGATCTCTGAGCATGGCTGGGAATCAAGGCCAGTTTGAGATCAAGTTTCGGTTGACTGATGGTTCTGATATTGGCCCCAAAAATTTTCCTGCTGCTACAAGTATTGCAACATTGAAAGAAAGTATTCTTGCTCAGTGGCCCAAAGGTTACTTGTGTAACCCTTGTCTTTTTCCTTTATACTTCTCTTTTTGCTCTTCTGGTTTGATAGCTAAATTATCCATGCGAGAACTAAAACGATGTAGTATATTCTTTCTGTTTGTCATGAGAAACTCTATGCTATAAATTAAAAGAGGCTGATGCTATGTGGATTTTATTCTTTTGGTTATAAAGGAGCTGTAAGACCTGGTATGGGCAGAGATAGGTGGGCTAAATTAGAAGCAAAGTGACCAAAGATTCAATTACAGGATCAAGTAGTTTCTGAAGGAACGTGGTGCCACCTGAGTTAAGGCTCTTTGGACTGGATTAACTCATTTATTTTAGAAAATACATACTGAGGATGAAAAACTAATAAATTCCTTTTAGTAAATGATTATTACTCAATTTTAGGATCCAATTGCAAAGTATAGGACATGATTTGAGTTCAACATTAGAAGCATGGAATTCTAATGTGGGGTTCATAAGTTATTGGGGTCTCCAACTATAACAACTTGCTTTTGTGGTGTGGATCTCCCCAAGTTCTGGGGATGTGGTCATCACCCATTGACAAAATGTCAAAAAACTATCAAAATATTTCACGCTTGAGATGAGATCAGAAAACAAACTGTATAATGTCATGAATAAAAATATTTTCCATTTAATGTAATGCTCTTACTTTTAATATTTGTAACGGTTTCCTGCATATAGTTGTGCATATGTATGTTGAATGCGTCAGTGTAAAAGTTTGCTCAATTCCTTTCAGTTAAGGTAGATTTCCTTCTGAAATTGAGGAGACTTTACATTAATAAAATGACATTTTCTTCATAGAAGGCACCTTTAGGAGTTCGTAAATTGTGAAAGTATCCAAGGTGATAAGTAAGACCTGGATAACAGCCTTAAACTAAAAATGTAGGAAACTCTTGGTATAGATCTCTAGTTCAGTAATTTTCTTTCTTAAACTTCAATTTCTTCTCCTTATCCCATACAGTAATGCTTTACTTGTTCAGGACGCCTTTTAAGTGTTAAGTGTACTTACAGGGACATATTTATGTGTCATATTGTTTCACTATTTCTTTAAGCTGAAGCTTTCTAAGGTTTAGGTTTTCTTTATTGCTTAGTAATTTTTACAGAGGATGTTTGTAGCTTAGTGTCCATGTCATTGCTCATTGTGGATATCATCTGATGTGTGTAAACTGCAAACATGTTCTTTATATACTTATACAGAATTACTGTGATCCAAGCATACCAGTTTCCATGATTCACTACAATTTTCTGGCATGATATAGTGAAAATGACATTTTCTAGATTAATATGGGAAAATTGAGTTGTATTTAGCAAAGGTAGGAAGACTGAAATTAATATTTAAGTAGTATGTCATGAATTCTGATTTTTGTCATATTGGTTTAATATGTTGTGAGCTTCACACTAAATTTTTGCCATGCTTTTGCTATATATGAGATCTGTAAGTTTGTGTTTCTGTTTTGAAGAGACAGAGAATGGCCCAAGGACTATAAAAGACATGAAGTTAATTAGTGGGGGAAAAATATTGGAGAATAACAGAACAGTTGGGGAATGCCAGAGCCCACTAGGTGATGCCCCCGGTACTGTTACAACGATGCATGTGGTTGTGCAACATCCTGTTACAGAGAAAGGTCTAGTATTTATTTTAGACATGCCAAAAGCTAGTATTAATAGTTTATATATATATATATAAATTTGGCTGGGATACGGTTTGAATTGTTTTCATTGGAAACTACTAGCATGTGAATGTAAAAATGCTGCTATTCTGTTTGATTTCGTTTTCATTCAGTTTTGGTGCTTTATCTAATACTTATTGACAGTGTAGTCTTTTTGCCTGATACAGAGAAGAAAGCTGCAAGCAAAGCAACGCAGAACAAATGTATGTGTGTTATTTTATAGCATCCAGAATGAATAGCAGATGTCATCTTTCTTAGGTGGTTAGGGACACTTCATTTTTACGTAACCTGCGGCATCCAAGATTTCGACATACGCAAATTATTTGGTTGCATGCCTCATTCATACTACAGGCAGAGTACTGGACTATGTACTTTGTTTTTTTTTTTTTTTTTTTTTTTAAAAGGG